AAAAAAAAAAAAAAAAAAAAAAAAAAAAAAAAAAAAAAAAGTATCAGTCTGAGATGTCATCACAACTCTTCGTTAATGCATTCATGATTCCTACCTTTGCCACTAGCAGCTTTTTGGAGTACTTGTTGAACTAATTCCTTTTCTTCTTCCTCCTCCTCCTCCTTCTCCTCCTCCTCCTCCCACCTCCTCATCATCGTCCTCCTCCTCCTCCCMCCTCCTCATCATCGTCCTCCTCCTCCTCCCACCTCCTTCTCTGTCTCCTCTCCTCCTCCTCCTCCTCCTCCTCCTCCTCCTTCTCCTTCTCCTCCTCCGCCTCCCACCTCCTCCTCATCGTCCTTATCATCATTATCATCATTATCATCATTGTTGCCTCAAGGCCCTCAACACAATTATCGCACATTGCTTATCATCATCGTATTAGTCCTCTGACAGGTCGGGATGTTCCTCGTCAGTCCTGCGTTGCCCTCACCACCATCCAGATCATCGTTACCGTCATCAATATGATTGGCACATCTATCATCTTCAGCAAATGAGAAAGATAGAAAGAAAGGAATGGAGGAGGAGGAGGAGGAGGAGGAGGAGGAGGAGGAGGAGGAGGAGGACGCAGGAGTGATACATACACAACCTACATAATGGATAAAGCAGGGTGAAGCTGCACATCTAATGATCAATGTTAACAGCCCTTTTATCATGATGATTGTCATTCAACAACAACAGTCATCATCATCATTATCATCATCATCATCATCATCAATGACTTTCAGCTTTGAGGGATGGAGGGTGGTAGTACATACAACCCCTAGACTGTGCATAAAGAATGGTGCATCTGTACATCAGCACCAGCAGTAATCATAACCAGCATCATCATCAGCGACAACAGCTATCATTGGTTTCCCCAAATTTTTGTTCGAAGACACCTTGTAGCGGTACCCCTACGGCCCGGCAGTGAGGCCGGACCAGTTTCAGGCCGTCGGCCTGACCCTGGTCCGGTACCAGGTTATCCCGTACCTGGACCTAGGCCGGTATATCACTTCGGCCTAGGTCCAGGGCGGGAGGTTCATTCATTCTGTTCGTTCATTCGCTCATTGCCGGACTGGACATTGCTGCTTCATGTGTGTGTCCATCTCCTCTCTCTCTCCCTCTCTCTCTCTCTCTCTCACACCATCTCCGCACGTGCCCTCCGAACGTGCGTCACATTGGTATCGGAGCGGGTTTCGAACCTCTGCTCCCTCCCTCCCTCCCCCCTCTCTCTATCCCACAACTCCGGATAGCCACCTCCATCCCTGCATTTGCACCTGGTCCATCAAGGTGACCGGATACACCCGGCATCCAAGCTGGCGCCTTTCTCCTTGGTAACGGCGACGCCGGCGACACTCCAACCGCTGCAGTTCTCCTACAGGCCGATCCACTACTACTCCGACAGACACGGCGCAGCTGGCGGCGTGAGAGTTCATTGAACCTCATCACCAAGACGAAGGAGAAGTCGTAACAAGGTTCCGTAGGCGAACCTGCAGAAGGATCATTGAGACGTGGCCGGCCGACTTCTGCCACGCCAGCGCTCCCTCCCCCCCCCCTCCCCCAACTCCCCCCTTCCTTAACTCCAACCCCATCCCCTGCTTCCCCCTGCCCTTCCGCTGCCATTTTCGCATCTCCCCTGCTACTGCCGCCCAATCCCGGCGCCCGTTCTCCCAATCTCCCCTTCCC